GCTAAAAATAAATTTTTCTAGTAAAAATAGTCGTAATTATGTCATCCCTATTTTTGATGGTTAAAAACCCAAGAATACTATGTTATATTTTTGCAAATACATGTTACTACAAGACATAATTACAATAGGCTATTTATATAAAGTTTTATAAATAGTTAACACAAAAGTTTACAAAACAAACTGTTGACAGAATAGTTTGCATGTCATAAAACGTATAAAACGCATGTCGTAAACCGCATGTCATGAAACTCGTAAAACGCGTGTCATAAAACACATGTCACAGACTTTCAATAGTGATATCATTCATTATACAGTAAAAGGGAGTCATAGTTCACGTAAATCCGTTAATACTCTAGTGAGACATTCGCTTCACCGTACCTACTTAGCGTACATTTTAAGTCATGCATTATAACCAGAGTCTAGGGTGACAACCCCACACCTGAGTTGTTCGCTACAGCTAGACGGGCCAGTCTAGGGTGACAAATATCTTACCGATTCTGACGCCTGAAGAACGTCGTACAGGCATAACAGTCACATTTAACTCATTTAGGGATTAACAATACTATCTTGGTTTACGGGGAACTTACACTTCACTGGTTTTATTAAAATATAAAACTACATATCATTTTCAGTACACAATTGCTTACATTTCTGGTCTTATGGTTTAAGACTACAGTTTACTTATAAGAAAATATTGGATTTTCTTGGAACATACATACATACACTATCATTTTACAAGGAAAGATACAAGAGTCATACATACATTTTCATTAGTTTTGGATATAAGACTAACAATACGGTTTATAGAAAATATCGGATTTTCTTAAAGTCTACAAAAACCATTTTAAACAGTTACAAATCCATTTTCATACAAAAATGCTTATGAACTCACCAACTTTATAGTTGATGCTTTTCAAAATGACTTGTATTCTCAGAGAACCAGTAACATGTAATCAAATTTGTTTTGAGATCAAGTGATGCAACATTATGGAATTTTACTTTTGTCACTTTTGTGTAACTTATGAACAAGTACAATATGTAAACTATGTAAGTTTGTATTCTCAATGTATGTCGCTTGGGTTGCTATGTTTTATTCATATTCAACTATTATGATACTTACGAAATAAGAATGTTATGTTTCGTAGTTATTACACTTAGGCTTTGCAGTTTATTGTTAGTTATTTTGGAAGGTTGTCTTCGCTTAGGTGTCGTGACCTCATTGGTTATTTCCTAACTAACTATTTGTGTAGTGACCTTATATAAGAGATGTTAGTGAGATAGAGAGAGTATATTTTGTGAGGTTCTTACGATCAATATTATAATCGAACTTCTTACTCTCTAATAAAAAAAACAAATCATACTTGCTTGCTTGTTTTCATTCAATTTCGTGATTACAACATGATTTCTATCTTTTAGAATCTAATCGATCCCACACCATGACTGACCTCTCAGAGGGAAGGGTCAATATTAGTTCAACTAGAGATAGACCTCTCGAAGGGAATCTTGTGGACTAGGTTTGTTAAGCTCGCATGCTATCTTATGTGTTCAGTTATATGTGATTACTATTGATGTTTATGTAAATGATAGGAAATGCATATGATCTGTATAATCGGTGAGTATTATGATTACTCATTAATATTTGGGCTTACAGTTGATATTTTATGATTTAGTTGCAGATCCTTCAGGTGTGAAGGGCAAGGAGTTGGCTTGATTGGGATATATGGTCGTTCTCGGGGACATAGAATCCATTGTTGTTTATCTTTTGTGTTTGATTTCAAAACAAGAACTTAGCTTCCGCATTAGACGAGGTTTTTGTGATATGATATTTTATATTGTTATGGATGGAGCCACTATTTTTGGAAATTTCATACTCTGATTTTGAAAAAAAAAATGGGCTTGTGGGATGATCCACTCCCTCTCTCTCCGTATACGATATTCATAACCCCTATCCTCAAGTTAGTGAATTTCGCATAAATCCTAATCTAGCATTTGTCCTTTTTTCTTTTGATGTTTGTGGGTTTGACTACATTAGATGGGTTATATTTTAGATCATTTATCCATTGCAAGCATTGCCACGTACGAGATCCCAATAGTTGATTTTTAAAGTTCGTTGCTATAACTAGTTATAGCATAAGACATGTCCCAAATAACAAAACATGGAACATCATGAATCATCAAAGTTCCTTCCCTTCTAAAGAAATCTTTTTCATAAAGATAACCTTGTGATGCTTTGTTGTTTGTGACAACCCTACCCAAGACCACAATAGCATAAGACATGTCATCATCACCCATTTTAGGAACTTTCATATTCTTTTTGGGTTGTTTACGGTTCATGTTTCCTCCCCCCGCTTGCGTTTGTCTTAATTCCCTCCTTTTAAACTTTGCAACGAAAACAAACAAATGAAGTTTCCCAATCCAAATTGTTCTTTGGTTTTGTATCTTTTTTTTGTAAGTTGTTATTTTACTTTGTAAACTATACACCAAAGAACGTATGGCATCATGATTATGTTTCTTTTAACTTGTATTTTATCGATGTAATGATGGATGTAGATGAATTTATCTATGTAACCAAAAATTATTAATAGATAGCTTAATATTATATATTATTTAAAAAGAACGTATTTTCATACAATTAATCGATTCATAATCGAACACGTTAGCCGGAAAAGTAAATACACGATGGCATGAATGGTGAAAGTGTCATGCTTTTTGAGTCACATATTAGGTCGTTGGGTATGGGCTCTTAACAGGTGGAGGAGTTGGCACTCCTTCACGCCGTTAAGGAGATTGAAACACCACCTCGCTTTCATGTTATGTGGAGAGATGCGGAGGACTAGGTGCGAAGCAACGTGAAACCCATTATCACTTTTCGTTTTCTTCTCCCAATTCACTCTATAATTATTTACATCCTACACCCTTTAGCTTTTCATCTTGGTCAGATTCACTCCTTAATTAAAATAGTGTGGTGGGTACTTTCCAACAAATGTAATGTAGTGTGGAGACTGACATGAAGTCGCAAAAAATTGGTGTGGAAGGGTGATACATACCCACCTTAGTGATGATAACTTCATACAATCTTATACATTTTGTTTTCTAAAATATTTGAAGTTACTTAAAATACAATTCGTTTATAAAACTTTATTTAGATTTACTTTTTACTAGTGGCAATACAAATTCATTTCGATCATATGCATTTTTAATATAGTTTATTTCCAAATATAAGAATTCGGTAACTCAGTAATATTATATTGATTTGGATAATGATTCTAATATGATATATCTTTGATCAAAATAAAAATTAAATCAAATTATAAGCAAATGTTTGACAATTCTTCTTGATTAAGTTATAGGCAAACTAGTTGTGAGACCCATGTAATACATGGGTTAATTTTAAAAAAAAAGTTAAATATAAAGGTGAAAATATTTAAAAACTTTGAATTTATAAGAAAATAAGAAAAATAATGAGTTATTATAATGGAAATGTTTCTATCTTTTAAATTTAAATAAATAGAAGAAAATTAATGAACTTTAATTTTGAGAATTTTGAAATTAAAAGGTATCTTAATTAATAAAATTGATATTCATTTATTACTACATTTATTGCAATTATTATATTAAAATATTATATTGAATTCAATAAAATAGAAAAACTTATAAAATGACATGTGGAAAAAGAATTAATTCAAAATAACTACAAAATAAAATTTGGCAAATTGAATGAGAGTGTGACAAGTGACAAAAAAAAATTCATTTATTAGAAAGGATTTCCACACCATCTTCAAAATATTTCCATACGAGGGCCTTTACGTATATTCACCATCTTCATAATATCTACACAAGAGCATTTAAGTATATTCACGTTTTAACTAAAATGGGGTGCTCTTTGAAAAAAATAAAACCAACCTCTCATGGATGACTATGTAATTTTACAATAGTTAATTAAGCACATTGAATCTTAAAATTTAAAGATAACCATACAAATAACCATCTGGTTACGGAGAATATAAGGAAATGATTCAATTTTTTTTTTATTTTTAAAAATGACCAACATGTCCTACAAATTGTATCCAGGATTAAATTAATTTTGTTTCGTAATAGTTTTATTTTTATATCATATGAAAAATACATATCCAAAGAAAAATTCGTTTTAGATTTCAGACTAAATATTGCGTACAAAGTAAAATATATTCTGAACTTTCAAGAGCATATCCAAAAGCCGCAGATCAAATGTGAAATTTCAAGAAAATGTTATGTTTTTTTTTAAATACCAAAAGCAAGTAAAGATACAAGCAATGTTTTAAAAACCGGTTTGAACCAACCGGTCAAACCGGTTGGACCGGGAACCGGAGAAATGAATGGTTCAACTAGCACCGGTTTATATCTATTTCTGAACCGGAATAAACCCGTCGGTTTTTACAAAAATCCGGTTGAACCGGTTATATTAAACCGGTTAAATTAAATAAAAACACATGCAAATGAATCATTTTTATACCAAACTTTAGGTTCTTTCACATCTATCATAGATTTCTTTGAATAAAAACATAACTATATTTTGTTTCTGTATTATACTTTATTTTATTTTGATGTACGTAGATTGATATAGAACTTATGGTTATGTGTTTTTAATGTATTTGGATTGATTTTCAATTTATATTTATGTGTATTTTTAATGTTTAAACTTACAAATGTCTATATATGTGTAGGAAAATAGAAAAAAAAATATGAAAATTATAGAAACCGGTTGAACCGACAGTCGAACCGGTCATCATACCGGTTCAACTAAAAAGCCGGTTTTTAAAACATTGGATAAAGGACATCAAAATATGTCATTTAATTGAAAAAATGGTGATAATTAACATTTTAAATTTAAAGGGTTAGACATTTTATTTTATGTTTTTATTTTTTTTAGAAGTAGTTAGGTGGAGATATTTATCTTTAAATATTAGCTATTTATACCTACATACCAAAGAAACACAAACTACTTTCCATAATTGAAAAATATGACAAACTTATTGGTGCCACTCTCCGACTCTCATGATGGAAACCAATCAGATCACCAGAAAATACGGTTTTCCAATGTGGTGGTCACAGGAACTAGGAACTATTTTTCGGGTCGAAAATGGCAAACAATAGACATCCAAGCGGCATCATGGTTTATTTTTTTCCATTTACTTGCCCTCTTTGCACCATTTTCATTCACTTGGGATGCTTTTTGGGTTGCATTTGTTGGTTACTTGCTAACAGGAATGTTAGGCATAACACTCTCTTACCATCGACTTTTGTCTCACCATAGTTTGAAACTCCCCAAATGGCTCGAGTACACGTTTGCTTATTTTGGGGTCCTAGCATGTCAGGTTTGTATTTAGCTTCATCAGAAATCTAATTTTGCTTAAACTGGTGAAGAGTTTGTTTAGTTGTACAAAATATATTGACGATTGAATGAATAAACAAGATAATGATATTCGTGATCATTTGATGTAATTAAATGTTTATATGACGTGAGAATAGCTAACTCACTATTTATTTAAAAAATCTTTCCTAATAAATGAAAATAATTTTACCATTTGTCAATCTCTCATGAGTTTTGATATTTGTCATTTTGTGGTATTTTTAAAATAAATATTGTCCACTTGTCAATTTCTGGTTTGTTTCAATTTTTAAAATGAAAGTCATATAGTTATATATGTAAAGTATTAGATATAATATATTAGGTTATAACCCGTAGAAACCACGGTTGGGGATTTGTAAGATGTTGTAATAAAAATTTAAAAAAAATAATTTCTATATGTGTTATCCGGAAAAAGAAAAATAAAATTAAAGTACAATGTTATAGTAAACAATTAAATGGAAGTATGTTGCTATTTTTTTGTTATAGCATTTTGCTTTTTTTTTATGATTACTATGTTGTACTTTTCAAATCAAAAGTATGATATTACTTCTTGAAATTAGGATATTATAACAAATAATGCCTAAATAAGAAAGCCCCTAAAAGTACAATGTTTAAATATGAAAAACAAAATTAAGATGTTGCAACGTATAAATAAATGATAGACCGTTGCTATATATCTCTTGCCTTTTTTATTACAAAATTCCACTTTTATTTCATCATATTACAACACTATATTTTAAAATTTTACCCAATATAGAAACACCATCCAAAATACACTAATTTTCATTGCGATAATTGGGTAGCTCTGTCAAATTACAAAAATTCTTTGAAGTAAAAAAAATACTAAAGTACAATGCTATAATTAACCATGCACAAGATCCATAGAGTTACCATTTCACACACTAAAGATTAACCTAATAAATACTCAACATGCTTACTTTGTAATTTGTAGTAATAGGTTAACCAAGACAACTCAAATTTGATAATTGTTTTACCGATGAGAGATTGAATACCCATTAAACTTGATCACATAGTCTTAATGCCGAAACAATACGATGTTTTGTTAGTAATTTATATTTTTTTTCAAAGAGAATGACATTGTAAGAAAAATTCCTAATGAGACATACCCTAACAAACACTTTCCCAAGATGCTTGCCAACCATTTTGCTCCCAAGATGCTAGTACTCACACTCTGTATTCCTAGCAACTATCATGTCAACACGCTTTTAAATATTAGCTTGAGATTTATTTACGTATATGATTTTCTGCAATTTATAATAATTTTGTATATATGCATAAAAATTATAACCCATGCACTTTTCTCAAAATTGCACCATGTGCCCATATCGTAAATACTTATGGTACTATTTTTTTTTTGTTTTGTTTTGGTCCAAAGGAAAATGGTTGTTTAAAAAAATGAATAGTTGAGCATTTAGCTTAAACAACCCAATGACCAAAATTCTCAAGATAATTCAATATAATGACCAAAATCGCATTGTGGGACTAAAACTGAATACATTAACTTCGTGACTAAAACTATTATTCTCTTTTACCTTGATATTCCTCCCAAATGCATCTAGCTCATAGGATCTAAATTTATGATTTTCTTTAAGAACTGCCATGATTTTATTAGGTCGATGACTAATATTGTTAAAGAAATCAATGGCTACCCTTAAAATTTTGAAGGGAGACATAGTCCTATACAATAAAAAAAAAAATTATGAAAATCGATACAATATCTTCCATCCATATATCAAATAATGATTGGTTGTAAAGAAAGACATTTTACATTGTAAAAATAGTAATAAAACACCCAAGTACCTTTTTGTGTTGTTGAGCAGATAAAATCGACGTTTGCTTCTTTGCAACTATCAAGTTGTGAATATTACACGTGAGATTTTATTTTCTTACATCTTTGGCCATGAAGGCTGTTGCACTTTTAGTTGTGCATGCCATAATAGTAAATAATGATTGGCATATATAACCAAAGTATAAACAAACATAACATGAAGAAGATAAATTTTACCATAAAAATACATTAATGTAATGGAGATAATTGGCTTGCATGTGACAAAAGAAAAAAAATGATTAAAAATATCGGTTGCAACTTACAATTATTTAGAATAGCTCTCCACCATTGACATATTTCAAAACTGTAAATCTTGCTTTATGAGCTAAAACATGCATCAGAGAAAATAAATCAATGTGATAAGTTGTATGATTAATGGTGGTTCATATTTTCACATAGGCATAATGCTTAATCTCCACGTGTAATAAAACCATTTGCAAATAGAACTCCTAAGAAACTATTGTGGGTATCTTTTCTTTTCCATATAATGAATTGTAGGCGATTAATTATTTAAATTGGTGATTCATCAATAGGGTTCTCATGTGTCTGAGAATCCATAATATTTTAGAAATTAAGTCTTAGTAAGAGATACATGATAATTAGCTTTTACATGTGGAATTTCGATTATGTAAGTCGTGGAATACGTTCTTTTCTTGCTTTGTGATGCTATATATATTGTGTATGTTCCCAACAATAAATCAATTATTAATTTCTATTTATAATAATACTAATAAATGACTCAATTTATGATACATATCAGTAAAGTCTTTCTCAAGAATCCTCCATTCCTTTCCAAACCAAAAACCTGTCCAGTCGTGACAATTTTTTTTTTTTGATTTATATGAAAATTACACAACCAATAACTTCTTGTGATTAATCCAAAAACCAAAATCAATTTTTTTTATATGAAAATTACACAACCAATAACTTCTTGTGATTAATCCAAAAACCAAAATTCATCATCGACTATTGTCATTACAGAAAAAAAAAACTCCAAAATTAAAACCTAGGCATCCAGTTTTGTTCCACAAAAATAACAAAATTAGAACTACGTACACATAAAAAAAAATCAAAACAAAACATAAATACCTTGCATGAGGAACCATTATGGGGAGCCTACTGGAATCATGGTCTTCGTAACAAATTTTACCTTAAAAACATTTATGAAAAAACCACAACCTAGAAGAAGATGGAATAGCCGTTTCCAAAAAAAAAAGATGGAATAACTCAATTTTGCATATCAAGAATGACGACTTCATATCAAACTGAAATAGAAAACAATAACAAATTAATCAATGAGAAACAATAAACTTTACTTTATGTAGAAGAGTTATGCGGTCATTGCAGGCGAGGCTTCGGATATCTTACCCTTCTAATATGTAGTTGAAGAGGAAGATAAATGATAACGATATTAGTGGCGAAGAATAAGAGCAGCAACGTCGTAGGAGTGGTGGTGACGAGGGAGATATTGATCTTGAATTTCAAAATCACGGATTATATTAGCGATTTGGTTTTCAAAAGAGATTTTTGGGAGATATTGTCGTGATTAGGGATAATCAAGGAATCTTTTAAAATATAACTAAATTATCCGAAATCTTTTAATTTCAATTTCAATTATAAATATATTAATACGGAAATTAATTATTAATTATTAATAGTTAATAGTTAATTGGCAAATATATCTTTAAAATTGTTTTGGGCGGGAAAATAAAAAGAAGTTGGTCTAAGAAAGTGCCATGTGGCATAACCTGAATGTAAAAAATAGACATGTGACATGTGAATGATTCTTTTATTATAAGAGGGGATATGATATTAAATTGCAATGAATACTTTTCTTTCTTTCTTATTTTAAAGTTTTACATTAAAAAATATTTACTGTTTACACTTTAATGTTTAATTTTTTTTTTTAAATCAGCCCGTGTAATACACGGGTGTCACACCTACTAAAGTAATAAGGACAATAATTACTCGCTCAAATATGTATATGATTACAATCAAAATATATTTTGTAGTTATTTTGAGAAAAGAAAATTGAAAATATATAAAATCATGAAATTTAGAATTAAAGCTCTGTATCATTAATAATTATATAAATAAAAATAAATTATATTACAAGCTTTTCATTATATTCCATGATTTAATGAGAAAAAACAGGTATCATATTCTTTTTCCAATAAAATAAATCACAATGGATTCATTTTTTATTTCGTCATACAAAATAATACTCGATTTATATTTTATTTTGTTTTCATACAGGGAGATCCAATATTTTGGGTGAGCATCCATAGATACCATCACAAATACGTGGATTCAGATAATGATACACATTCACCAATAAACGGGTTTTGGTTTAGTTATGCTGGTTGGTTTTTCGACAATGGTTACATAGTTGAAAAGGTATCATGATATTCTTTAATTAAAATTGTAATTTATGATTAAAAAATATATTGTTGCTATTAGTTTTTATTTGAATCTTATGTGAAAAGAATACAAAATATCCTAAAACTATATTATATTGGTTGTCTTAATGCAGTATCGAGAACGTAAAAATGTGGAAGATTTAAAAAGACAGACGTTCTACAGGTTTTTACAGAAAACATATGTGTGTCATTCACTTGGATGTGGTGTTCTCTTGTATGCTTGGGGTGGATTTGCGTACCTCGTCTGGGGCATGGTATGATATATTTATTTGCATTTATTTCTTAGATTCTAATTACATATTGATTTCTCATTTATTTCATTTGAATACATGATTTATATGAACTTATGTCTTTTATGTAATAAATAAATCGATACAAAAAGACACATTTGTTTGATAAAAACCACATACACTGATGCTCAAATAGGACGCTAAAAAATAGGGTTGCCATGAACCGATATTAGTATATATATATATGGTCAACCTATAAACATGGTCATAAAAATCTGATCTTGCCTTCTTGCACGATAAGGATTAAAACCAGACAATGGTTTGACAAATACAACACTTCGTTTTTGTCTCATATGTGTAGTGTAATTTATTTAGTAGAATATAGTAAAATATAATATATCATATACATTATTACTTGAAGGGATTGGTTCAAAATTGAACCAAATTATATGAGAAAACTACAGAAACCTAATCATCTCGATGATGGCATTTATATCAGTCATGACTAACAGGACTACAGGAGGGAAGCATGAAATTTGTAACCACTTGTATTGTAATTAGCCTAATAACCTATCCGCCGCTAATGGGGACTTGTGGTTGATGACAAATTTTTCATAAAAGAAACAATCATAAGTTCTAAGCCTAACACATCCAAAATATTAATAGTGTTCAATGATTTAACCCTCTCCCCCATAATATCCCACCGGCGGGTTCGTCATTAGCTACAGGCTACCAACAGGGTGCAATTTATTTTTTTATATCCACCTGCAATCGCTTAGTAACCATGTTTTACTTTTATAATATAATAAAACATAATACATCATATATATTATTACTTGAAGGGATCGGTTCAAAACAAAACCAAACTATATTAGTTAACCACTAAAACCTAATCTAAGTCGTTGATGATATTTATATGACGGTCATAACTTGCATGGAATCATGACTTCCATAACCACTTGTAAATTGTCTATAACCTAGCCCTACCATTCGGCCTAGTATTTGAAGTGCAAAATTGCATAATAGAGTTCCAAAGTTAAAAATTTGGCCTCGTCATTTGGATTATCTTTAATGTTAAACCTAAGTTAATCACTCAAAGTTATTGTAATGTCACCATTCCATTAATTTTGACCTCTAAATAAATTACATCTCTAATGGTTAACCTCTATAATTGTTTTTTATGAGTTTAACTAATTGACATCATCCATCTAAAATGTTTCATAAAATTCCATCATTTTAGTTAGTTATTTTTAAACACATCATATTTTTAATAAATATAGATTGTATTAAACTTTATCATGGTTTGTAATATATAAATGTTTGTAACATTTAATAGAAATAAATATCAATTAAAGAAATAAAAATGATTTAAAACTAAAATAAAATTGAGAGTGTAAAATAAAATGTTATTTAAAACAAAAACACATATATTTTCAAATTGTATTGACCGGTCAAAACAAATATTTAAAAAAATAATAAAAAATAATAAAAAAAAGCTATAAAAATGTACATTGGGGATATTCTTACAAGAGTAATACTTACATGAATAATTATAAAGTGAAATACATAAAATAACAAATAAAAATAGAATAACGTAAACATAAACTAACATTCCAAAGTTTCCAAAAGTTACATGTATTGAATATATAAATTAGAATAATTTTAGCCATCGTGGTGCATGGTAAAATTGTTAAAGTTGATTTTTGTTACATGACCTTGTTCATCTTTTATTTTCCTTTAACACATCAACGTCGCCTATTTTTTCATGGGATAATGACTTAGGAGTCGCCTATTTTTTCATGGGATAATGACTTAGGAGAGTAACTAACTGTTGAGTTTGTTCATATTTGGTCTCTTTCTTTTTTTGTACAAATATACCATCGAACTGGTTGTTTATATTCACAATAGCCCTTCTAACCGGCTATCACCTGTGATAGCCGGTCAAAATGGTTATGGTGAACATAAACAACAAGTACGATGGTATATTGAGTACAAAAAAGAAAAGAGACCAAATATAAACAAACTCAACAATTGGTTACCCTCCTGAGTCATTTTCCTTTAAAACAAACCCTTTATATTTGGCTCTTACGCAGGCAAAGGAACAAGAAGATATTTAATTGTAAATTTATGAATTATAATTCCATCTTAAATGAGGTTAAAATGACCTATTCTAATTGGATTAATAGTAGAGTTAGGATTGAGACTTGGAAAATTAACTGTATAGTTCTTATGAGATGTGATGTCATCACAACTTTAAAACACATTGTGATAGAGAATTTATCAACACCCCTTGAGAAATGCTTAGTGTTCATTCACAATCGATGTGGAATCATATGCAAGTAGTTCTTATGAGATCTATTGTCATCACGACTTTAAAACACATTGTGATATGGAATGTATCAACACCCCTTGTAAGTAATGATTAGTGTCCATTCACAGTCGATGTGAATCATATGCAAGTAGCTACCCATCTTCACCCCCCACCCCCACCCCCCCTAGCAGTGGCAGAGCCAGAAATTTTGATACTGGGGGTACAAACATTGTCAAGATATATTTTAGTGAAAATGACTCAGGATAATAACCAACTGTTGAGTTTGTTCACATTTAGTCACTTATTTTTTTTTGTACCCAATATACCATCAAACATGTTATTTGTATTCACCATAACTGTCACACCCATAAAATTCAAGCCAATTTTAAACTTTTTCAAAACACTTGAAACCATTTAACATTACATAGCTTGTTTTCAAAATACTAATTATCAAAGTATCCCAGTATCAAATCATAAAAATCATAACAGCAGGAGGAGCGGTACGATCATGCCGTCGCATTCCCGCGATCACCAGAGGTACCTGAAACAACAACTGAAACTGTAAGCCCGAAAGCTTAGTGAGCTATCCCCTAAAATACCAATCTCATAACCATATCATATAATCATATAAGTAAACAACATGCATAATGAGCCTTCAGCTTGAATGGACCGCCTCGCATGGCCTACAACCTATCTAGACCGCTCCCGAGCCTTCGGCATGACTGGACCGCCTCGCAGGGCCTACAGCCTATCCGGACCACTCGCTGGGCCTTCGGTCTGACTAGCATACCCTCCTGGGTTTGTAGTATATCCGGACCGCCCTGGGTATATTGGCCTTCAGCACAAAGCAGGACCGCCTCAACCCAATCCCCAAATCAACAAACATGTGCACATACAATCATATGCTATCACAATAATAGTCAAACCGATCTAACAGATCAAATAGCATAGCAACATCCTATAACCAGGACACCGACCTACCCAGGTCACTAACATAGCATAATCCTATAACCAGGATATTGACCGAACCAGGTCACTAAGCATAAGCATATCACCATCCTAACTAACAGGATGCAAAACAATAAACATATCATGTAATAATCCGGATACAAATCCATAAAGGGCCGGCCTTGGTGCCTTAGACCCTGTTGATATAGTGAGGATAACTCACCTCTCAAGTGTCGCACTGAAGTGGTAAGCTCAACCCTCGGATCACCAACACGAACTCCTCCACCTAAAGTTACCACAAACCCTTTTTCATAAATTTCCAAATCACCAAAATACCCCAGAGGTCAACTGGTCAACCCTTAGTCAAAGTCAAAGTCCACAGTCAAAGTCAACAGTCCATGTTGACCCGACTCGTCGAGTTCTTCCTGGACTCGAGAAGTCATGGAATCCTAGGTTGACTCGTCGAGTTCCCCTAAAACTCATCGACTTCATACGTGGCCAAAGGTTGAGAGAAACCCTAGCCGGCTCGCCGAGTTCAAGGCAATCTTCAACGGACTGGCCGAGTTGTTCATCCAACTCGTCGAGTACATGGCCATATTCATGTGGCTCGCCGAGTTGACTATGCAACTCGCCGAGTCCTTTCAGGCCTTCATCCATGCAGACACTTTTTAAGCCATGCCAAGGTTCCAGATTACAGATCCAAGCTTCTAGGGCATGTTTATCACGTAAAGTTGCAAACTTTACATGCATGCAAGGCCCTAGAGGCTCTAAATGACCAATATAAGCTTCTAATGGAGCTTTACACCTTAGGAGAGTCTCATCCTTGCAAGAGCTGGAGGCTTTATGTACTTAGAAGCCCAAGAGAGTTCAGTTCTGAAGTTACAACTTCAGATCTTAGCTTATACACAAGAAAAGCTTCCAAACATACTAGGAAAACCCTAAAATTTGTCCAAAAGGGGATCTAGAAATGAAATGAGGTCAGGGTAGCGATTTATACCTTCCAGAAGATGCCAATCAAGATAGATTTCAGATCCCACAGCTCCTTGCTTCTGGATACTTGATCTCCAAGCTCTCTTCTCCAAAAATCCTCTTCCAAGCTTAAGAATACACAAATGGAACACACACACTCGATTAGGGTTTGAGAGGGACAAGAAGCAGTAAAGGGGAGGCTGGGGGAGGCCAATGATCCTTTAAATAGGGTTCAAAACCCCGAGATTTAGGGTTTCATCTGCCAGCTCTTACTCGTCGAGTTCCTTCTTGGACTCGACGAGTAGGGTAACTAACTCGTCGAGTAGCCCTTGAAGTCAAGAAACTCTTATATTAAATCAATACCTAAGAATCGGGGCGTTACAATAACCCTTTTGACCGGCTATCACAAGAGATATTAAAACATAGGAAATTGCCAATTTTTATTTTCTTTCATTTTTTTCACAATAAAATTAATTTCTCTTTTTTTTGAACGACAGCTTGACAGGTTAGGTGTTAGTGTTAATACTCCAATTATTGTTAGCACCAAGGATCGAACCCTGACATCACCATTATCCCATACTAAGAGGCTAACCTCTACCAATTGGGCTATTCCCAATTGGCAAAATTAATTTATTTTTAACAACTACAATTTAAAGAATAAATATAACTAATTAAAAAAATAATTAATAAACGCAAAAATTGATAAAAATTTAAATATTTCATTAATTAAAAATAAAAATTACATAATTAAACTTAAAAGAATAATAAAAAATTACATAATAAAAAAACAACTAAA